ACCCCCCTTACCCAACATTGTCATGACTCATTTCCTTGCCTCCACGCTCCGTCTTTTCTCCCTTATGTCGCCACTTCCACGCCTTCCACAACGGGAGGAATTAATACTCCTCTCATTTTATATAGTACTGTTATCAATTAAAGAGTTGAATAAAAATTTCTTTATTATATTAATCTCAACTTTTAGAATACACTTAAGTATAAAATATTACGACTTATACATTTTATAATTTCTAAATGTTCATATTTTATTTCACAAAAAATCAAATATCATTGGGGATTCACTTGGTCCAAATCTCAATGTTTTTGGGAGTGAGTATAGAAAAGAGTCCTGGCTAGACTTGTGCCTTAACGTGCTATACATATAAAATTAATTCATGATGCTAGAAAATATAATGGAATAATAAAAAAAACAAAAAAGACAGGATTTATTTACTAGTAATAAATACAGTACTATATTGGGTAGTAGGTAAAAAAGAACTTCAAACGTACCCGCCCTCGCCCTGTGGTTGGGTCAGTCTGTTTGTCTGAATGGTCAAAAGTTTCAACTCATCTATTTTCCTGATTGACTACAGAGAAATTCTGCCCAAATCAATATTTGAAACAACCGTAGCAAAGTTCCTCCTCAAAACAAAAAAACAAAAAAACTCCTTATGCCCATGCACTCTACTTCTTCTTCTACTCTTTCCCGGCGCCAGAGGCCTAAGAGCAACGACAATGGCAAGTTTATATCGACAGAAGAAGAAGTGAAGCTTGCTGCTCTCGCCATCAGCCTAAACGTGCGACTCAGATCAGCTGACATGCCTTTCACCATGCAAGAACACGCCCTTCGTTACGCCAAAACTCTCCTCCTCCACCCCTCCCCTCACCGTCCTAACCCCACCCTCCTCGCTCGCTCCCTTAAAAAGGTACGAGTACTTCACTATCTCTTTAGCTCTTGTTCCCCTTTAGTTTCAAATTCGAGTTCAAACATTTTGATTTTTTTTTTTTCCACATTGTGGTTTTAGGAGTTTGATTCGGTATACGGACCAGCGTGGCATTGTGTGGTGGGAAAGAGTTTCGGATCGTTTGTGACTCACTCACCCGGTGGGTTTGTTTATTTTTCACTGGAATCCCTTTCCTTCCTTCTTTTCAAGACAGAGGTTCAGTTGATCACGGAATCGGTACCAACACCTGCTGCCCGCTGATTCATTTTCTGCTAGCTGCTGTCGGTGGTTAGTTGCGCAATCCACAGTTGCAACAGTCAGATATACTAGCTGCGTAGTTTCTTTTGGAGCTTTTCTACAAGCCATTAATGTACATGATAACACTGACATTTCTCTAAGAAAAAATACATGTAGCACACTGTTCTTACTTTGTTTCTCTCTTTTATTCTAGAGTAGTCTAGACTCCATGGTAAATGGAAATCTTCAGTCTTTTCCAGATTTTGTTTATTTTGCTTTTTCTAAGAGTCCAAAGTCACTCGTCCTCATATTCTTATGATGACTCGATCGATTTATCTTCCACCAATTATGAAACATTTTCAGTGCCTCTATTGAACAATCAAAATTATAAATATTGCTAGTAGCACTAATCTGTTCTGGTTTCTTATAAATTGAAACTTATACCAAGCTAGTATTACCCATTGAAATGGCAACACCGGTGTGCAGTTTCATTCCAAGAGCCAAACTAATCAAGAAGCTACCACCTGCAACCATGTACAACCCAATGCCCGACTACCATTACCAACTCAATCCATTTAACTTTAGATATTGGCGACAACAAAGAAAATCCAAGGCAGACTCAATGCTACCAATGCAACACAGAATATCTTATTCACACCCTAGGAAGTCAAAAGTCAGCTTGTACCTCTAAAGCGCTTTCACGCAATGCACTGTTAAGCACAGACAGAGGGCTGCCCTGTAGACATAACCCAAATTCCAGTATTTCACCCATTGAAATAATAAGAAACACATAAACTTGCAAATCGACGGAAATAACTAGTCCCCACTCCCCGGTAAGGTTGTAGACAGTATACATCACAAACACCAAAATATAAACTATTCGCAGGATTGTTCTTTCATCTTCACATGTATAATTCAGCAACATCAATTGTCCACTAATTCCAATTAAGAATTGCTTCCAGAAAGCTCAACATCTATAGCTTTATACAACACCAAAGTCATCCAATATAAACTTACTCTGCTCTAAGACAAGTTCCTCTCCAGCATGAACCGCTCTACCTTGTTTATGTCTTCCGGAGTGTCAACACCATGAGTCTCATGGTCAACTTTTATCACCTGCATACAGGACGAGATCCATCCACTATATAAATACACTCTAGATAGATAATCAGAACAAGAGGAGCAAACCAACTAGGAAAATTAGATGTGCAAATAAATGAAAGGCTGCAACAAGGCAGGACATCGATACAAACTGATTAACCTTGTAGACGATTTTTCTTCTCAGTTTATCTTTTTTGTTTTTGTTAATTTATAGTTACATCCAAAAGACTATAATTTTTCTGTCCACACTCCACATATGGTAAATACTTACTCGCATCTGCTGTTTATACAAGCAATTTAACTTTAGCAGTTAAAAATTAAACTGAGAATCCATATCACGTTAACCATAGTTAAGTGAGAAATGTGTATACGAAAGACACATGTCTTGCATTCATTGATTTAGTGTCAACATCAGGTGCGGGTAAGTTTCTAACGTCTAAGTATTTTGTATCATAGAAGGAGAAAAACTTTTCTTTTTTCCTTTGAACTGTTTTCCCAAAATATTCAGACACAATCAATTAGCATACAAAGGTATAACTTGACGAGAGTCTCCAATTGTATAATCAAAGCACGAGTAAGCAAATGAGTCAAGCATGCAGATTTGGTACCTTCATCTTGTATCCATTCTCAAGGACCTTCAACTGTTCAAGATCTTCTTCAAGTTGCAATGGAGTAGGTTCCAATTCTGGATATATTTTCAGGAACTTCGAATCATAGCTCTGTATATGAAATAAGAGAAAGACAATTGCTCAGTCATACAAGATTTTTCCAGAGAAACTAATGATAGTTGCACTATAGATGTATTACTCAATACCTGAATTCCAAGGTGCAGCAAGTAAGGAAACTGAGGATTAACCTTGCCAGACCTGAAAGTTAGCACAAAAGTGATGAGGTTTTATCACAAAGTAGATAAGAAATACCACCGCAATAGATTTTAAAGAGAATCATGACTAACTTGTTATAAGGGATCAATCCCCGGGAAAAATAGATTGCATAACCACGATTATCAACCACACATTTAACACGATTTGGATCAAATGCATCCTCAGGTTTCAAAGACGTCACAGCAGTGCTAAAGACCGCGTCTGGTGCAGCCTGCACAAATACAGAGTAATCCTTTGGTAATTTTATGATAAAGTTATACTACTGGCTATAGAGGCAGAAAGAAAGTTGTGAGGAGATGAAATTACATTACAACTCTTGTAAAAGCTAAACTCCTTTCCTCATACGTTGACAATATAAGTATGATATATGACTACACATAATGCAGGTTTTGTGGCAATTGACTACCCTGTACCCGTCATCCCAAGAGATGATATCGTGAAATGATTGTCTCAAACGTAGATAATCTGCTCATACATATATTTATGTAAAATAATCATGAAGTCAATTAGGAGGCAGCTTTAGGACTACCGTGAATTGATGGTAATATTAGACCATGCAGTAGCTAAAGCCTTTTGCAATTTTGGCTTCACTCGCAAGGGCTAACTCTCACATTACTCTATAGTTAATTTTTTTCCTTTCTCTGATCTGCAATCAGTTTTGCACATTCCCCAATAAAATTAACATCTTTTCATAAATGGCAAACAGTGCCAAGTCAAATGATTTAAACTAGACTAAGCAGTTTATATTGACCTTAAACTGATATCTTCGTTGTTTTTTTTAGAGGGGGATTTGCCTTCCTTGGAAATTATAACTCTTCCTCAAAGAATTTCACTAAAATTCAAGATATAACACCAAAACACATCATTAAGGTCCTATTCAAACTTTAACTTCTCTAAATCTCCCCGATCATACTGAGTTAATATATGATGAAGATAATAGTTAATACAGGATCCGAAATGTTTATATCTTCACTTTGTGAAAAACATTGTGTTCAACCATTCATTTGAGGGTCCACCGTCCATGTCAGCTTATCCACTCTTTTCTGATAAGTGGCCGCAACTAAATTTTATATTACTTTGAGCATAGCATTAGTTTAATCCCTTCCCTCTTTCTAACAACAATTAACCAACTTATTAACATTAACAGTGTAATATCTAGAAATACACGTCTAAATAAGTAAGGTTTTAGACGGTATGAGTATGATAAGCCACCTCCATATTAGAATAATAGTTTATAAAAATACAAACCTCTCATTTATGATAGTTTAAGTACCTTTAAAAATGATTAAGAACTAATCCACTCCCAAATGAGGTAGAACTATTTTGATTGAGCACATATTGAGGAAGAAAGTATGAATTCGCTATTATGCTTGACTTAATTGGAGATGTCTTTCAAATAATAGCTAGTGTGTACGAAAAAGGCAAGAAACTTCCTCTTCACAGAGATAAGTCAACTCAGTGATGAAGCACAAGAGTTTGGGTAAGCCAGCAAGTAACTAGGAGAGAAGAATATGAAAGATTACAGAGGTTTCCAATTTTTTGGCAATAAGATAGCAAATGCAAGAAACTTCCCTGGATGGTGGAGAAGGATTTGTTGGAAAGGATAGACAAGCTTCCAGGGTGCATAAGAAAATGTATCGGTGGAGATCGTTCAACACTATCTCAAATATATATGCTTGAACACTCTTTATGAAAAGCAACTCATTTGTGACGGAAAGGGTAATAGTTAATGAGCACTTGACCGTTAACGATGAACCTATCAAAAATAGAAACCAGGGAATAAGTGGAGAAGGCCAGCTGTGATTACATTTTACCAAAGGCAAACAAGTGACAGCCTTTTGTCAGAGTTAACTTCAGAAAGTTCAACAGAAATTCATATCAGTGTCGGGAAAAAACAAAGAAGGAACTTTACCTGCAGGGCTTTGACAATGCCATCTATTATCTCAGGTTCAATAAGTGGTTCATCTCCTTGTATGTTTACGACAATGTCATACTTCTTTCCAAGCTTTTGAAGAGCTTCATTACAACGCTCGGTTCCTTCAAATTAACAACTGAGCATTAGCAATTTCAAACACTGGAATTCCCAGAAGTAGCAAAATTAGGATCAATAAGCAAGTGGATGTTATGTTTACCATTTCTACATGATTCAGAAGTCATTATTACTTCAGCACCAAAACCTTGACAGCACGCAGCTATCTTTTCATCATCTGTTGCCACAACTGTTAGACAATGCAAACATATCAGCAACTACACTACACCCACTATTGCTTCTCTTTTTTTCAATCTCTCTTTTCTTTCCTGTTTTTCTTTGTCGGGGATTGTGGTTGGGGTTATAGGAAAGTAGTAAAGTTAGGTCAAATGGAGACGTACCAACGTGATCCAAGGTAGCAGCAAGTTTTGCCCTTTCCCATGTTCTCTGCAATTAAGAATTTGAATCTGGTGAGGGTGTCAACTGTCAACTCCTTTCGAGATGACGAGTACGATAGTGCATCCTGATTAAAGCTACACCAGAGGTAAGTTATTTCAAACAAAGGGGGTACTAGGGAGTATATAATATGCAGTTTCCATAAAATTCAGTAATTACATTATTCGGTACAAGCTGAATGTTCTTGAAATTTGTGGCTTGTTGTTTATGCTCTATTTCAACAATCTGTTTTCAATTAACAAATCATGCAATTTTATTAGCTGAATAAAAAGAATGAGAGTTCTTAGAAAATACCTGGATCATGGGCTTGCCCAAGATATGAGCGAGGGGTTTACCCTGGAAGCGAGTGGAAGCAAAACGGGCTGGTATAATGCCAATGACCCGGCTCCGAAACCTGCCGGATCGGCCAAGATACGCTCGAGCCCCGAGAGCCGCGGCCATTGCAGCTCCCGCAGCTAGACCATGAAGGATCCATGATTTTGAAGAGGATGACGACGAGGAAGATGATGAAGTTGAACTAAATATCGGCATTTGATTTTTTTATTAACGACGGAGAATGGAGAATTGGAGAAATTGGCAAATCTCGGATGTAATAACAAAAAATTATGCAATCATTTTTAATTAGCTCATGATTATCTTCGAATCCATCTTATCTAAAGCAACAATGTTCTCTTTTTACTATGGCTTTAAACTACTGATTGGTGAATACAAGTGCACCAAAATTGTTTGCTTATAATTTCCAATTATATGGGTCAGTTTAAGAAACAAAAAGCATTTCAATTTTCTACGCGATTAAGGAGAGTGCGAACATTTAGGTCCATCCTTTTAAAGGTGAATGAAGTTTGTTTTCGGAAAAACAAAATATATAATCCTCGAAGCTAATGAATTCCAGTCGAAAGCTGAAAGTTTAAACGCTATGCAATCAACGGCGTGCTTTCAGAACATTTGCTTAGAACAGGAACAATGTTAAGAACAAACGGGGTCCAAGGTCTGCTACCACGCTAAACAAGCAGTGGCGTCCGACGCACGTAGTGACAAGCGGGTTCAATTGATCCCGCTTCATCAAAAAATAATATTGTGTATATGTATAAATTAGAATTAAAGCTGCATAAATTTTGTATAAATATTTTATTTGAACTTATTTGATAACTACTATTTTACGACTAAATTTATATACTTTTAAGATTGAACCTAGACGAGGGAGAACATGTGTCTAAGCAATTAACCGGAGAAATTTGTTATATAATGGAGAAAGGGTCTCTCTCTCGGACTCGCCCTCACTATTTCTCTCTGTGACTCCATTATCTGTATTTCCTTTATTTCCTAGCTGCAATTTCCATTATCCTATTATAGTGGTCTTCCTATTAGAATCAATACAACATTATACTTGGCCTGTTTGTATAGGCCAAAATTAGGCCAAAATCCGTCTTCAACATATTTAGCGTAATATGACATTAAAGAAAGTTATCGGTCGAGCTCACCCAAGACGCAACGAGGTCAATGATCGAGGTGCCGACATGTGTTGTGGTCAAGATATCGATGGTTAACGCAATCAAGATGTCAACGAGGGTCGAGGTCGAAATTGACCATTGATGACAAGACTCGCAACGACTAATTTGTCAAAATAGGGTACTAAAAATATTCTAGTGAATATTCCTGACATTTGTACTATTAGGGTTTCCACGGAAAAAGGCCATATATATAGAAAAAAGAGACAATGTAAGGGCATGTAACTTTGATTCTGATAAGAACACTTTTGAGAAGAGGACTCCCTCTCTTGCAAAAATACAAAAATTACATTTTTACAAAGATTCTTGTTCATATTGTTCCCTACTTTTCCACCAGATCCGAGAACCGTTTGTGTGAATCTTGGATCTATCTGTCATTCATCATTGTCAGGCAAAATATTCGTCCAACCCATCCATTATTGAGTGAATCATTCTCTTTATTTACTTAAATACCATTTATTGACATTTATTGTGAGTTATATATCCCTTAATGTTCTTGCTTTAAGAGCATTCTATATTTATTGCCACCAACCGTATACGAAATTTGTCCCATCTGGTATACATCTTTTTGCTTAATATCTAGAGTTATTATCCTTAGCTAGATCTACCCCTCATTATATAAATTAAATAGTTTAACCGAAAATTATAATTTTTGGTTAAATAATTTGGCGCCGTCTGTGGGGATCTTCTAGCTAAGTCTTTTAGTTTCTTCTAGATCTACAACTGATACTAGTTGCTGACGTAAAAAAAATCTCTTTCTCTCTGCATGCATAGATCTAACATGGCAGGTAACAGAGAAGAAAGAATGAGAATGAGTGACCTCCCAACCAACCTCATAGACATCATCTACGAAAGCTCTAAAGCATTGGACGAGGGAACAATGCCCAATGCCTCCCCTAGGCGAGGTGGGTCGTCTTCCCCCATTGCAGCATCACAAAACCCTTGGCAAGATAGCCTCCACGTCCGTGGGAGAGAAGACACCGCCAGCTATAAAGAAACTCATTGAGGCCTAGCTGACTGATATACTGACCAACGTCCTCCATAAGCCCGTTCAGGACACGTCCGCAGCAAATGCGAGAACCTGTGTTGCACCACCAGCAAACGAGCAACATGATCAACTCCTCCCCCTCACCCGCGACGACAAGTATAACTCACAATGTTGTAAACAATGCAGGCGATGACACTCTCATAACCATTTTGAAAAGAATGGAGGAAATGGAAAATGAGAACAAGGCACTTCGGGACCAAATGAGAGAGTACCAAGATAGGGTCGATAAAATATCGGGCGCTCCTAAGTTATTGCCGAAGAGAGATGTCGGGCGTTTCGTCGAGCAATCGTACAGTGATAGTGCTGCCCCACATGCCATACCAAAGACTTACAAAATGCCGCTTTACCTATAATATATAACGGCACGACCGACTCCGAGGATCATGTGACTCACTCCGTCATCGATGTGAAAGGCAATGACCTCGCCAAAGAACAAGTATCCTTCATTCTGCTAAAGAAATTCGGTGAAACTTTCACGGGAGGGGCATTAACTTGGTACTCACAACTACCAGCTCGTTCCATCGAAACCTTCGAGGAAATGGCCGATAACTTCATGACGGTCCATGCCGGGGCCAAGAAGGCCGAGGCGAGAGTGAATGATATATTTGCTATCAAACAGTCCCCGGGAGAAGGACCGAGGGACTTCCTCGCCCGTTTCAACCGAGTGAGAATGACTTTCCCCGGATGTATCAGAAGGAATGGCGGTAGCCGCTTTTCAAAATGGGCTGAACATAAATAGTTCGAGAGCGACAAGAAAATTATTAAGTCGGCTTATAAAATACCCCCCAACAACTTGGAACGAAATACATAATGCATACTGTGCCGAAGTGCGAGCAGACGAAGACGACCTCAATGGGCCGACTCATCGACTAACCTTGGTACAAGCAGAATCCAAAAAAGATCGGAGAAGTGATATCAGAAGAGATCCGGTGACCTCACAGCCGAACCGGGAACGACATCTCCCATATGTCAGAACTACCGTTGTATCCTCACCTCGCTATGAAAAAGGCCCACCCCGATCAAGAACATGGACTCACCGGAATGAAAGAGGTATGCCCCCTTTATTGTCCGCTCATAATTTTTGCGTATCACCTACGGAGATCGTCTATGCCTTGGAGAAGCTCGGACCAAAGGTAAAGTGGCCGCAAAAAATGAGGTCGGATTCGAATACCAGAAAATCAGACGCCCTCTGTGAGTTCCATCAAGAGTTAGGACACAAAACCGAAAATTGCATCGCTCTAAGACAGGAGGTCATAAACATGCTGCGATAGGGACACCTCAAAGAACTGCTGAGCGATCGGGGAAGAACTAATTTTTCCAGGGGACAAACCAACTTGCCAGCCCGCACCATCCACATGATCATCGGCGGAGGAGACGGCGCTTCCATCAATGATGTGAAGTTCACCATGACCCAGAAGATCAAACGGTTGATCACCACGAACAATATGATGAACTCGAAGAAAGTATCATCTTCGATAAGTCAGATACCAACGATTTGGCATTCCCTCACTATGACGCTCTTGTTATTACTTTACGAATTTTAAATACCGACGTAAGACGGATTATGGTAGACGAAGGGAGTGGCGTGTGTATTATCCATCCTCGAGTACTCACACAAATAAAACTCGAGGACAAGATAGTACTATGCTGCATCACACTAACAGGATTTAACAATGCAGTTGAATGAACATCTGGCGAGATCACACTCCCCGTCCTAGCAGGTGGCGTCACTTTGGAAACCACATTCCACATCATGGACCAGAACACGGCATACAATGCCATAATAGGGCGACCGTGGATACACACCATGAGGGCCATACCCTCCAGCTTGTACCAAGTCATCAAATTCCCAACTCCATGGGGTATATTATCATAAGCGGGGAACAACGCACATCCCAAGATTGCTACCGCATCGCCCTAGACTGCACGACTACCCAACAAATGAGAGACGAAGAGAATGAAGCATAGCAATCAATAGGGTCAAGGTTGGTAGGCGACGACATCGAGGACATCATCAGAGACCCCGATGTGGCTGAGGCCGCAAGATCGACCATAGAGGACCTTGACCCCGTTCAGCTAGACATCAATGACCACAACAAGAAAGCTTACATCGGCTGCAAACTCCAAGAACCGGGTAAGTTTCGCAAATTTCTAATTCCTAACACGGACTTGTTTGCTTTTAGCCATGCAGATATGCCAGGTAATTCAAAGGAGATTGGCATACACAGATTGAACATCGATCCACTCTACCCCCCAGATAAGGCATGTTTGACGTAAGTTCAATTCCGCAATCAATGACGCCGTATGCGAAGAAGTGAAAAAATTATTGGAAAATGGCTATGTCAGATAGTCGAAGTACCCCAATGGGTTGCCAACGTGGTCATGGTGAAAAAGAAAAATGGCAAGTGGCGGATGTGCGTAGATTTCACCGACCTGAACAAAGCTTGCCCCAAGGACTCGTTTCTACTACCTCATATCGACCAACTCATCGATGCGATAGCCGGGCATGAGTTGCTGAGTTTCTTGGATGCCTACTCGAGCTATAACCAGATCCTTATGGAGGAAGAGGACCAGGAAAAGACCACCTCCATCACCCACCAGGGGACGTACTGCTACAAGGTCATGCCTTTCGGATTGAAAAATCCAGGGGGAACTTACCAAAGGTTGGTGACTAAGATGTTCAAAGAACAACTCAGAAAAATGATGGAGGTATACATCGATGACATGCTGGTCAAGTCCAAAAAGAAAAAAGATCACATCGAGCATTTAAGAGAAGCCTTCGGCATACTCTGGTAATACGGCATGAAATTGAACCCCGAAATGTGTGCATTCGACGTGGCCTCAGGAAAATTCTTGGGTTTCCTAGTGTCGCAGTGGGGTATCAAGGTCAATCCCGACCAAATCAAAGCCATCGAGCGTATACCCAAGCACTTGACTACCAAAAAGAAAGTCTAGAAGCTAACCGACCGTATCACTGCTCTGTCAAGGTTCATCTCGCGATCCTCCGATAGGTTCCACAAGTTCTTCGGTGTACTCAAAAAGGAGAACGAACTCCAATGGACCCCTGAGTGTATCCAAGCACTGAAGGATTTAAAGGTGTACCTGTCCTCGCCACCAGTTGCTCTCAAAACCGAAACCAGGACAACCTCTCCTCATCTATCTCGTCGTGGAAGTAGCTGTGAGCGCAGTCTTAGTCCAAGAAAATAAAGGTACGCAATCCCCCATCAATTACATTAGCAAGACACTAGTCGACGATGAGACGAGGTACCCCCGCCTTGAAAAAATGGCTCTGGCCTTGGTCGTAGCTTCACGGAAGCTTAGACCGTATTTCGAATGCCACCCCATCA